AATTAAGAATAAATGTAATATCAGTATGAAATGTTTGATGATAAAAATGATCACATTTCCTAAAAGAAAGTGGATATAAACTTATTATGGTAATTTTTCATTGCCCAAATCCTTCTATGAATAACTATAATAGTGTATTATTGATTTATGTACGTCTAACTATATCTGACAACATTTTGTAGGTCTAAAACACTAAGGCACAATTGAAAGCAACAATGCAAATAGAGTGGCATGGTACTCAACCATAGGATTACTATTTTTTTTATTAACCTGGATATCCAACCTGCTATGCGAGTCGACTAATTCCAGGACGACCACTTGTTTTGTAGATAGCCCGGAGTCACCGCATTTGAACCTCCGTGGCCAGGATTACTACTTTGAAGATAGGGTACAATTGATGTGTTGTTAAATTCATCTCCTGGTTGAGCTATTCAAGCCATAAGTAAAAGGTCAACTTCTAAGCGTCTTCTCTATGTTTTGAGCAACATTATACGCAACCTTGGTTTGATTTGTCAAGAAAGATGATACATCTGCTTTTGACAAACCTTTGTTAACTTTTCAATCTAAGATATAATTCAGAAACATGCTTTATCTTAATAAATTACATTTTTCGTCCCTACACTTTATATATTCTAACAAAAATTGTGTCTAAACTTCATTTATTCCAAAAATTATCTCTGACGTTTGCCTTTTTTCGGATTTCATTCATCTGATTAACGACCGCTATGTTTTTTTGTTAACTTCAGTTAACTCAAGTATATGTCGGTCAATTTACCTTTTTATCTCTTAATCTATTAAAAATATTATATTCTATTATCATATAATATTATATTGTATATGTATGGTACATAAACACACATAGAAAAACACACAACATCATTGACAACGGAAGCACTCCCTCCACGGGTGATGAACGAACTCTTTCCACCGGCTAGGGACAAAATCTTATTGCATCCTTCCCCTCTCCCTGTTCTTCTTCCTTGATGAACACCACTATATCATCACTCTCATGGATCTTTTCACAACGACATCACTACACTCCCCACCATCATGACCAAATGAAGGTGAACTTGGACCAAGTTTCAACATTAAACCGTTGGTGTCTTTACAAGAAAAAATATTTTCCTAAATGTTTACTACAAGATGAAATCTTAATCTAAAAAAGTTTCGATATTGTGGCTCTGAAATCTAAGCTAAGTGACGTGACAACAGTCCTTGGATATGAACTATTTTGAGTTTTGACTGAATATTACATACTCAATATTTCTAAAACAGTAACTAAACTTCATGGATGCAATTTCTACCAACATTGGTCGGTCTCCCATTTTTGGCTCCTGCCAAGCATCTTTGTTTTCATAGCATCTCCGCTCTTCGTTCAGGGAAGAAGGGGAAAGGAGAGATTCACGACCTGACAATGCAAAACAGAAGCAGCTGCCAACAAATGCGACGACAAACAAATCAACTTAGAGGGTTTTAATTTTGATCTAAGGTTTAGGTTTGATTCATGTTTTTAATTTTAGGGTATAAGGTTTTGTATCGCAATTCTTTGTGGAATGAATTTATACAAAAATGTTATTTATATCCAGTTTTTTATTGAACAATGACGTTTTTAGTATTTTACTGTATTATGTTATGGTGGTTGAATAAATAACGTCATTAACTATTTCCACATCATATAGATAAAAATAAACAGTCGTTAGTAGGGAGACAAAATCCAAAAAAATGCAAACGTGAGAGACATGCTAAGAATAATAAGTTTAGGGACAATTTTCGATAAGACGAAAAAGGAATAAAAACAGAAAATGTAACTTACTCTAATCTATACTATATTATAAAGCATTTGACGAAAACTCTTAAAAATCATTTTTTATGCATGAAGTATGTTTATTGATGCATATTACTTAAAATTCAAAATTACAAGTAAATTGTGCGTAAGTACAACTTATTAAAGTTTCATGTTTGAATTCGTGTAACTAACTGTAGATAAATATAATCGAGAGGATAAACACTTCATTTTAAATATAAAAAATTTAAAATATAATTAGGATAATCATTGAATTATAACAAAATACTTAATTATTATATCTATAAAAAAATATTAAACAAAAAATAAAAAAAAATGAATTAAAGAAATACATNTCATTTTAAATATAAAAAATTTAAAATATAATTAAAATAATCATTGAATTATAACAAAATACTTAGTTATTATCTCTATAAAAAAATATTAAACAAAAAATAAAAAAAAATGAATTAAAGAAATACATAAAAAAAAGAAATTTTAAACAGTCAGTTTGATACTAATATCAATTTTTTTAATTCTTTATGATGTCTTCATATTTATATTTTATTTAAAAATAAAAACATTATCGTTTTCTTAAAATCATATAAAATCGTATTATAACATCGACTGAGACAAAAAAAACATAAAACATTAAAATCGAGATGTATCTCACTGCATTGTGCGAATACCTTTCTTGTTTTTAATAACATCTCACTTGTTTTGTTGTAAGTTCGTACAATTTATTTCTCGAAATATTCTTAATGAAATAAAAAATTGGAATCATATTTAAAAGCAAATAACCTTTTTTTTAATAAATTAGGATAATGGTGGTTGGACTTTAATAAATTAAATATATTCGATAATATCTATTTGGTAATAAAATTTGAAAAATGTAGCATGTATACATATATTTGCTCTACCCTAATTAAAATCAAATACCATGATTCAGGTTCGAGAGTTCATGGATTATTTTTGTAACATAATATTGTTCGGTTTTCCTTATGATGATATGGTTGAGTCCCGGTGAGAAGCGTAAGAAGAGATCCTCATCCAAAACCCTTGGATGCACTTAGGATGAGATACACTGAGATTAAATAAGAAAACTAAGCTTGGAATATACAATTATCACACGGTTACATTTCGATAACTAAGCTTGGAATATACAGTTATCACCGGTTACATTTCGATAACCAACGTTAAATATTCATGTCATACAACCACATTTTTTTATTATGAAGTCATTTTATTTTATGACTTAACTGATTTTGACTAGAAAATTTGTGTAAAAACTTGTAACAATTTACTCCCTTACAAAGGCTACATTTTCAACCACACCTAAATCCCCGCATGTTGCTTCAGGGTTAAGATCGTGGGCATCTATACAGAAGGTCTTAGGTTCAAATTTGGACGTTTGTTGCTCACTCACCGTGATTTACCTCTCTCATGATGATAATTAAGACCAGTTCGGTAGGGACACCTAGAGAATGAAGTCTACCCTTTTTTTAACTGCACCGACACATATATCTCCGCATAAAACCTTTCAAAACATATACCAAATTAAGAAAATAACTCACCGCACCCAAATTTCAATATTAAAAACCAATCAAGTTATTGAAACAAAACGAAAAACATTTCATAATTAGCATAGATTTCGCTTGAAATTTGGAGAAGTTATCCAATATATTATTTCTCAACTAAATTCGAAGTACATAAAACAGTACAAACGATATGGATCATAACCTTTGCAATTTCCATGTCGTTCAACCACAAAAAATCTCAATAAAATTCAAGAATCATAGTATTTCGGTATTTCCAAAACAAAATAAAGAAAGAAGATATATGCATACAGAAAATCTTAAACAACATGAATAAGATGATCAAACATTGTCCTACAAATCGGACACGTTCTTCGATGAACCAGCCAACGGTCAATACAATGGCTATGAAACTCATGTTCGCAACTTGGAAATCTTTTGCATACCTCAAAATCTTGAAAATCATCCAAACAAATAGCACAACTCACCGGTCCTTCGGACCCTTGGTGGGCCCTACGGCTAAAACTCTGTAACTTCTTCAACTCTTCCAACGACAACCCAGAGGCCAAGCTACGGTCAACTTCATGCGAGTCGAGTCTAAGAACTTCAGACTTAGCTATGAAACCGATAACGGCATAGCAAATCATCAAGTAGAGGGTGACGATCGAGATTATGCAAAGGAGGGAGAGGGGAGGAGGAGGAAGCACCATTGTTGAAAAACCAAAAAGAGGAAATGAAGGTGAAATGTTGGGGAATATATGTTAATAAGAAAGATGAGGGTGGTGTTGGTTGTATCAAGGCATCTAGTTGACTTTGGTGGATGGATGGTAGCTTCAACTCCAAATAATGGATGAACCTGCATAGGACTATCTAATCATTCATAACTAATCATATATTTATAACAATAATAATAATAATAATAATAATAATAATAATAATAATAATAATAATAATAATAATAATAATAATAATAAAACAATCCATAGTTTTTTAGGAGTATGTTTTAAAACACGAATTTAGATGGTTCATTAATTAAATGGTTTTAGTTGACGAATAATACAACTTCAGAGTTAAAAAGTACTGTTAAAATTATCGACATCATAAATATAGAGTAGTTCACAACATCTATGCAACATACCATTTACATAAGGGTTTAGCTTGGTGGCAATCTCCGGGGTCAATAATTAAGGGTCGTTCTTCTTACAAGTTCGAATCCCATAAGCGATGTGTTGGTTACAAGACCGTGAGCCTAGACCACATGAATTATCAGTGCCTTCTGATTGTTGATATCACTTTTAAAATAAATGAAAATCATACAAACTTTTAAGTCTTACCACTAAGAGACATGATTATTATCACTTGGTAAGATTCAAATGGAAGCATAAGATGCATAGGTCCAAACCTTAACCAAACGACAGGCAGCCAACTACTACACAAGTTTTAGCAACAACTCATTGATGCAAACTCAAGAAGACCAATAAGAGTAATATCTTCTGATGGTAAGTCTGAAGTGGCTGGTCTATCACCCACAAAGTTGTTGAGGTTGATGAAGCATTTTGTCAAACAGTTGGTGGGCAAGGAATCTAATTTTAAACTGTCCAAAACCAAAGATCAACTTTTAGGTTTTTCTTGAACTTCTAGCAATCTTTAATATTGAATCATTGAGCAAAATTGGAAGGAAGTGATTAAGAGATCCACCAAACAATCTTGAGAAACAACCACCAATTTATGTCCCACAACTAGCATATTATTTATTCAACAAAGAAAGACGAAAGACGATTATTCCGATACTTTGGATCGCTTCAAAATGGCAAGAATTATGCTCGTACAATGTGAGTCATGCAGTTACAAAAAAAGCAAAATGCAAAAGAACTCGCTGGACGACAAGAATGTTGGCGTCATACATTATAAAGCGTCCTATCGATGTGTTATCAGTTGGTTTAGTTGTAGACAACTTCACCACCGTTAAGTAGTAGTTATATCTTGGGCAGAAGAGTTGTGGGTTCTGAAGGCACGTCTGCACTAGCCTGCCAACACAAAAAATACCACAATCATATAACATTTGAGCACCAAACTGGGTTTATAGCATCTCATATACATTGGAATTATGACCCAATGGTATTTGGCTTAGTGGTAGAGCTCAACCTCCTTGAAGGTCTGAGGCTTTCAAATGTCACCAAAGGTGAGCAGTGTTTGTGAGTTCGAACGTATTATATACTTCAAAAACAAAAATCATGTGCAGAAAAAGAGCATTTTTGTACCTCAAGATATCTTGTTAGCAACTTAGTTGTACTGAAATTGAAGCCCTCAACCGATTCTCCTTTCTTACGGGATGCATGAAGCTGCTTTCTTACATGGGATGCTAGTGACTGCAATTTAACATAGCACCGAAACTCGCTTACAACAAGTTTATGAGAATGGTAGGAAAAGGTAGCTTTAGAAAATAAGTAATGGTGAACCACCCAAACATTCAATAAATCCCTTAGCTATACTCATCTGTTTAATAGTCTATATTGTTTTATGGGGAAAAAAGAGGAGAAATATTTTCTTTTTCATGCATACCTTCCCTAACTCAACTCCCCACTGATCGAAAGAATTGATGCCCCAAATGAAACCCTCCACAGCAATTCTGTGCTCGTAGATAGCTAGCAACTGAATAGACAAGAGAGAMGGATTTTGTAATGCTATATGCTAACTTCTACATGAAAAATTAAACAGTTAGAAGAATGAGCAACAAAAACTAGAGGTTTATAAATGGTCAAACCTGCCCAGTTCTATAAGCATCCAATGATGGAAGTAGAAGGCTAAGAGATGGCCTATTCCCAGAAAAGGTCTGTTGATGAAAATGAAATTAGTAATCAAGCTTTCAATTGCACGCACAAGAATGTGGATGATGAAGGAAATCACCTTGTGAGGAATAAGATGAGATGCAACATTCTCACTTTGCAATTGTTCAGGGGTCTGGAACGAAGAGAAGATCATGTAAGTTGTGTATCAAATTCAATCATATCCAAGAAATTGCACAGTGGATCTAACAAATCCATGATATGCCACATTATAGGTTCATAGTCATTGTAATACTATATTATGTTCCTCATGGGGCATAATCTGCTATGCCTGAAGTTTGATTTGATGCATAACGGTGAAAAGAGTTGGATTACCTTCCCATAAGCAAGAGCATCAGGCTGTGCAAAAAAGTTGGACATGAGCTCATCATGGTTATTCACCACTTCATCTGCAAAACAAATTTTACATGATATGCGAATATGGGACAAAGGACAAAAAAGAAAACATGACCTTAGTAGAGAGGAAAAGGGAATGTTACCTCTAAGGTAGACCGGTTGCTGACTCTTCACAATACCAATAAAGTCGCAAGGAATAACACGCCCCTGAGAACTCCAAAATAAAGGATAAAGAAATAGAGCTTTCAGCAGATAGGAAGCTATATGCAGAAGGCTGATAAAATCTAGATTGGTACCATAAAGTAACCACGTTACAGTTTCTAGTTCTTGATTATTAGGCTTTGGGTTTAGGGTTACACAACTGAAAAGCCATAATTGTAATAGGTAAATGACAGCACAATATTCTTCTGGAAACATGACGATTATGAAGGTACTCTTTCCACCAATAAGTTCCATTTCTGAAACATAACATTGGGCCATAATTTTTAGTCAACTACATAGAGCCTCTTCCGCGTCGAGTTAAAATAACTCTATAAAAAAGAGTTCTGTACACTTTCTGATTTTTACTTATAGCCACTCCAGAGGGTAGTCAATCAAAACTAGCAAATTCTCCCATCCAATGCAAATTGCAACAGTTTTCACTTTGGATCGTCAATTGCAAAGCTTCCGTTTTTGCACGTAGATGTAATCTAGTAAGCATGAAGGGTATTTGGCTAAAGGTCAAACGCTTTAATGAAAATGCATGTTAGGTCCAACATTTCTAATGCAATGGAGAGAAGAATCTATGTCGTACAACTCTTGAATGGGCACTCTATCTATGTTAAAAAAAAGTACAAGATTCCTGCACGTGAAATGTGTCAAGTGTACAGAATTTGGGATACTATTTCCCGACACTATCTGATTGTTGTACATAAAAATGATTACACAAAGGTAATGAATTGCAATCACAATACAACTTACCTGATGAATTAGTTGGTAAAAACTATGTTGGCCATTTGTTCCTGGTTCACCAAAATCAATTTCACCAGCTTCAAAAGGAAGACGCACACCATCTATGGATACTCCTTTCCCATTACTCTCCATGCTAACCTGTAGAATAAATTTGAGATGCAGACATCTAAAAGCTTTCAAATAGGTAAGACACCACCAAGTAACTAATAATATACCTGTTGAATGTGTGGAGCAAGCTTCTCAAGAGCTTGAGTGTAAGGTAGGATAGCCTGGGGAACATAATATTTAAGGAGGAATTCAACCAATAATCGAGTGCCAAGAAACACTATCAAGTGACTTAGGTGTTGTAAACAATAGAACTCACTCTCGCAGGATATCCAAGAAAAGAAACATTCCATATGCTCAACAGACCTAAAAGAACCTGAAACAGTTGCATATAATGTCAATGAAGGGAACATTTAGCAAGTTAAACAAGCACAAAAGAATGTAAGACTACAACTAAAACACATCCAAGGCATCATATCATGCACACATACAGGTATATTATTCTCAAAAGGAGTGGACTGGAAATGCTGATCAATACTCCTAGCACCTTTCAGGAACCTACAAATAAGAGAAAAGTCATGTCACTGAAAATAAAGTGAACAGAAGAAGTTGATCAAGTGGGATTAAAGAATTGAATGATCCCAAAAAATAATAGTTATGTACTTCTCAATGACTGAGAAACCGTATTGGAGAGATAAAGGTAACACTCCAACAGCACTGCAAACTGCAATGGATCAAAATGACCAATCACATATCATATAGATAAAAGGTTCAAAAAATAGGGTTTTTTGGTCCCTCTCTTCTTTGTTTCTTTACAAATTGAAGTAACAAACAGACTATCTTACCACTGTATCGACCTCCTACCCAGTCCCAGAATGCAAAAGCATTATTAGGATCAATCCCAAACTTCTCCACAAGCTGCATCAAACAATGAAGGGTAAAAACTATGGCGAAGTCAGATGATTCACCAGCATGATGATAATTCTATCTTTAAAAGCTTATCTAATAATTCATTGCACCTTAAACATCAATTACATAAATGCCCACACATTAATATCAATGAAGAATTTATGACTAATAAGCATGACAGGAACTTGAATACAAAGATGATCTGTTCATTTAATTGGGAAATAAAAGAGTTTCTGATGTCTCAAAACCCACTAACATACTCCACTCATCTTCAGCTTCATATCAGGAAGATGGAAGGTCAGTTTAAAAAATGGGACATAAATCTCCCTCCCTGGTATTTATATTAATTACCTGATGTGGGATTTTTTGTGTTCAGCAATGAAACAAAAGGATGACGGATCTTAAGATTAAAGGTGGGGATGAAGGACAACCTCTTGCAGTATTACTAGCTAGATTCCACATGTAAATGATTTAGTTACAGCTCGCTAACTGCTGTAAAATATGGAAAAATAGATGGAAAGGTAAAAAAGAAAACGCCAATAATAATTGTCATCACAGGTCTTAACAATCCCACTGAAGAAACCTTCACACAAAGGAACCTTCCAAATGGATAACCTTCACATATATTTAACATTTTTTTGCATTGATTAAAGTATGCTGCAACTCATAGTCTTGATCTAAATCCTATAGACTCCAAACTGCTTCTTCACAGTGCCAAATAGTCCCTCCACCTATAGCTACAATAGATTTTAACTTGATAGAAAAATCCAAGCTCATCAATTTGCATGATGATAAAATCTTCAAACAGCATAACTCCTGTATGTTCTTCTGAATGTATCCACAACAAAGCCTATCATTAATATAGACCTACTGCATTTGCAAAATCACGTCGTACAGTCATCAATTTGACACCATTTATCACTTGATCATACATGCATAACTACATTTACTCCATCCACATACTCTTAGAAACCTCTACTATTCAAAAAATCTACCACAAAACCATCTATCATACCCTCCCTATATCACAAAGAGCATATGTCGATCTTTATTTTTCTAATATAGTCCCAAAAGCAACATTACTGCACTTCTCCCTCAAACTGGCTAAAGTGAATATTACGTCTACGATTCAAGTTATTCTTGCAGCATATGTAAGAAGACTCGTATATCCTAATAATGGTTGCAGGCAACGCCACTCTTTGGCTGGATACATGCAAGTATGTGTTAGACAGAATACGCAGAGCATATGTATCACATATATCTCTGGTCCGGAGCTTTTTCAAGTGGCAAACTTAGCTTGAGAGTTGCATTTTCCCCTTTATCTATGTAAAAGATTTCACAGGTATGAATTCACATCACCTTAGCCTGATGTATCTGTACTTTCGAAAGAGCTAATAATCATGTAAGATGATTTCTTTAGTCAATAAAACTGGAGTAGCATGATTCATAGACATGAAAAGGCCGCATCGTCAAAGAAATGCTTGTCAAGACCTATTTATATTTGGGTAAAATGGCAACCCAAACCGACCCCACACGGAACCCGCCTCCAACTCCAAGGGCACCAATGTGAGGGAGCAATTTTTTATTCACTCGGTGACTGAAGCTAGCCGCGCGTGGGGGGGGGGGGAGATATTAACTCTTTATTTACTGATAATCTGCAACAGCAAAGTGATGAGTATAATGACACAATCATATGTGTGTAAGCTGACTAAATGCAGTATCAGTTGCATTTAAACCAGATTTAGACAAAAAAAATATATATATATCTACTACTGAACTAGAAACAACTTTCAAATTTTAAACTATTCTCAAGCAGAGATTATGTGTCTACTCCGAGCCACTCAATCATCAAGCTTAATGCAGGAGCTTCCCATTGGGAAGCACTATTACACAATACTACCAGGAGCATACAACTTGAAATCTAACACATGATTGAAAGAACTTACTTCCTGAAAACCTACACATTGTCTAATTCCACATATTTAAGCAATGCAGACAATACAAATGTGAGCAAGCTCCACAATCCGTTGAGGATTTGCTACAAATTTGATGCTAATGGATACTAGGATACAGGGGCCAGCAGAGAAGACTGTGTTTCAAATGATCATATACTTGTCCCAGCGGTGCCTAATCATTTGCCCCATCACAGGACTCTCCAAATGACAACCATTTGTCATGTGATACTAGGAGAATACAACTTGAACCTTACCTCACAATCAAAAGAAATAGTTCCTTCCCTTGCCATCTTGATTGCCACTCTGCACCTTACCTTACTTTCTGGAAGAAAAGAAAACTCACCCTAAAAACTTATGCCAACAATAGTTGTTTGGTTCCTAATATGACAGTATTGAGTATATTACTAAAACCGAGAACAAGCTCCACATCTATTAAGGAGTTGCTAAGATCTGATGCTACTTAACACTAGAATATAGGGGGTCAGGAAACACAACTAGAATTGCGAAGAGATCAATACAAACCATAAGAGTGTACAAGTTCAAGCTGGTTTTGAAGAATGAAAGGAAACCAGTTGCTACCATAGAAAATAGATACACACCATAGAAAATAGTTTCACAACGATGTATAATACTCATCCAGTTCCAATAGATAGAAAGGAACAAACCTTGAGATTTGTGCTAACCGCAACCATATGCTTTGAAACAGCCTGTGGTCTGAAATAGCAAATCATATGCAACTAAGTTATATGAGAAAAAATAGAGTACATGCATAAAGGAGATAAGACAAGAGACACACAGTTCAATCAATCACACTTTAACATCACATCAGTCAGAATGGATTGCCTACAGGTACATGAATCTCCACTTTGTTTAGCATGAAGAACATATAAAAGAATTTATTTATAAAATGACACATTGATATTGGACCCAAATATTAGTACAAGCATAGTGTACTAATCAGATTAAAAATATTCATATCTTACTGAAGTCAATACCCACATATGCTACGTAAAATCTCATTAGTTGTCACAATTAAGCTGTGTCTTTTCAAGCAGAGGGTTTGCTCAACCTCAAACTGATTCCAACAATTATTTGCGGCATCCAACATTTGGTTCAATATCTACACATCTGCCCAAGGAAGGGAGTTGCAGTGGTAGATCTATTGATAATCAGAAACCGATGTCTAGATATGACTTGCATGCCATACATCGCACTTTGCAGTTGCCATTTAAGCTGACAAGTGACACCACCCAGTCACTTGAATTTGGCATATGCAGCAGTATAACATCTTCAGAACTAAAAATGACTGATTGGCTGATGCACTTACCCCAAAGCAGATGAGATCCATTCCCTCAACGTCCGTGCATTCAGCATGGTCTCAGCTGTAGTAAAAGTCTTCGAAACTACAACAACTGTATTGAATACAAGAAAATATAATTAATTATATAACAAAATATAGTGTTTCATTCTATCAAATAAAACACAAAACAACGCCAAATATAATAATATCACCTAAGGTGGTCTCAGGATCGAAGCCTGAAATATTTCTGGCAACATCTACTGGATCAACATTTGCTAGACTGCCAATACCAAGATATGAGGAAGAAGTAAGACATAGCAAGATCATTGTCTAAATACAAGCATCATGATTACATGCATTAGATGACAATAATATGACATGCTTCTTACCAACCACATGACTCCTAAATGAAGACAAGTTCATCAGACAGATCCTATCATTTCTTCACTTGTATTGTAATTTTTAATAAAACAACATGACCAAAACATGTAGAGTGTGCTCCATGACAAATGAAGGGCAACATAGATACTAGAGGCAGCACTGCAGCAAGATAGTTAAGAGGCAGACACACTTCATGGCACAAGTCTAAAATATTGCTGCAGCATAAACCTCATGGCAGGGGGAACATGCCTTTTTGGGAGCCGAGATACAAAATCAGAAAATAATATTGGTATATGCATGCTCGTGTGAGTATGCAGTGTGAACATTTTTTGTTTACATTGGATTTTCACAATTAACCAGCAAAAGTTTACGTTGGTTCTTTACCTGTACAATTTTGCTCAATGAGAACCTAATTTTAAAGAGAAATGTAACTTCTTTTATCTCTACTATCTTGTATCTCTCTCCCTCTGCAACTAATTAGGTAGTTTACGCTAAAACATGAAAAACATATAAAAACATCTCATTTCATGTTACATCATAAAAAAAAAGGTATAGATCCGAGGAAGGTATTACCTTCATTGAATCATCACTACAAGAACTATGCACAATTCCTTCTGTTATTTCATGGTGATAGCCAAGCCTGGGCGACTTCTAAGCGAAGTCGTGTGCATAAATTGGGAAACTTGCTGTACATTGAAAGTGACTTGCACACGACTTGGGAAGTCACGTAGTTTGGAGTGTACAAGTTGAGGTAGCATGCTACACACATATCGTGATTTAAACCAGGCTGCATGTGCAACTTCAAGTTGCATACAGGCATATGGCAGATTTAATGTGATTTCTAGGTCAAATTTTGTTTATTTCATAACCTTCTCTTCTTGATAAAAGCTTAGACAATACTTTAGAAGATTCAGTGATCTTGCTTTCTATTTCAAGTTAATCTTTGTAAGGTAAGAGCTCTGGTAGTTATCTTGATTTGTCATCAAAGTACAAACCTCCTTCTCTACCTGTGGATGCACACTATAGTGTAACCACGTTAACGATGTGTTCCGAAACCTTTATTACAAAGGAAAGGAAAGGAAAGGAAAGGAAAGGGGAAGAAGTAAAAAGAACTCGTGTTCTCGAAACTCTTTTAGAAGGTAAAGGAATGGAAACAGAAGGAAAATAATAATAAGTTTTCTCCCAAAACTTTCCTCCCAAATGTGGGAGGAAAGGAAGGAAAGAAAATAAAATTAAAACCCCTTTAAAAAGATTATTAAAATTACAAAACCACCCAACCTTTTATTTTAAAGGATATATTTTTAAAGAGTATATTCTTAAAAATGATATATTTCCTTTTCTTGCTCTCCTGTACAAGAACATGAAAAATAATTTTCTTTTCCTTCCCTCTCGAGAAAACAAGTATAAAATTTCTTTTCCTTCCCTTTCTTATCCTCCATTTCTTTTCTTTTCTCCCCAAATTCGAGAGCATAACGTAAATCATTGCCCCATTTATTTGTTTTACATTGCATACGTGTTGTTATTATCTTCGTTTGTGGATATTGAGCACATTGGGATCCTATTTGTATTCCACTGTTGGTTGTTGTGGGTTTATAGCATCATTTTGTATATGGGACTTTGGTGCATCTTGGAGATGTAAGACTAGAGTAATAGAGTGACTGTAGGAACGTAGACCTAGTGGGGAGAGGAAGAAGGGAGTTAGTAAGGTTGAGGGTGGGGCATGGGGAGGGAGTTCTGGAATCGGTTTGATTTGGTTTGGACTTTGGTGCATCTTCTGATAAACGAGTTTTTCGGCCCCAACACCTTTGGTCTATGAATAGTGGAGATAGTGGAGTACAACATTGCCAATTAACCTTAACTTCTAGATAGCTAATTCAGTGGGTATGATGATGTCAGTCAGCTTCAACTTTATTTATCATTTACAATTACTATTTAAAGTACAACGCATATTGATTTAATACCAAATCTTACTAACTATTTGAAAGTGATCATGATCCAAAGTTGTGCTGTTTGAAACCTGTTTTGTCCATGTGGTCTCAATCTGTGAGTTAATTCAATAAAATTGAGGAAAAGACAATGACTACCCACCTACAAGGTAATTGTTTCTAAAATGCCATTTAATATGAATGATAAATTGAAGTTGGTAGGTAGTGCTTAATCTATATGCAAAACCAGAAATTTGTTTTCTCAAAATCTTTCATCTCAGATTTATTCCATATAACCAACATGTGATACTCTCAATTCTCATGGGTAGCGAAAATCATATTGAAATGATCAACATATAGAACAGCAGCCAAATCATCTGCACTTGATTTCTTTGTGAAAGCACTTGGGTAAATATTTTTCTTACCAAGTAGACATTGGCGGACAGAATCACACCATATGGGACAATATACTTTAAGCATACAATGATCGCCTTAAAATTTAATTATGAATAGCTAGTGATGTTGTAAACATGCAAATTAGGCTCAAATTTAGACACTTGTACGCTACCATGCTTATCAGGGATTTGTAAGAGACCACTTGGAAAAAAAAATCGTGTTGTTATTTGCAATATCATTTTCCTTGTTTTAATAGCAAACAAATACTTATCTGCATCCGACAGGCTTTATATGCAAGGCCTGAATATTACATGTCTTTCAAGCAACATTACCACCCTATTTACTTCTTTTCATTTAGTGAATCATTTATTTATTTATTATTGTTAAGATTTTATGGTTCTTTTCCCTCAACAAAATCCATCTTAATTGTAGACAAATACATCTTCAGATTCTCATTTATTTGCAAGCTTACATTTGCTGCATATTATTTCACAGGTGTCCTTACTTCAGGCATATAAACTTTTTAAGGACAACAATTTATTGCCATTTTAGGACTAACATCAGCACCAACATTTGTTAATACATATTCATATTAAATCAACAAGTTAAAGAATATTTGTGAGACCTAATACTGTCTCCAAACTTTCAAGAATCCATGCTCAAAGTGAAAACATAATAGAGACAAGAAGTTAAGTGCTAAGTGGAGCTAAGCAAAAGTGGGTTTACCCATATATTGGCTACATAACACATTCAAACCAGTAATTATAAGCATGAACATCAAAATTTAAGCTTGAGTGATAAGCATAAACCTGACATAAAGCACACCCACTTAGCTACTTAGCTAATCAACAAAAGTGTTGAGCAGAAAAAGCGTTTTCATACATACATCCAGTAAGTGCTGATACACCCAATTAAGTCCTTCAATGGACGGTTTTTTTTGGGAGGAAGATGGGTTTTTTTACCGAATCCAACAACCTTCTCCACCCGTCTCCCCCACGCCGGACCCATCTCGTTTTCCGACAAAACACACATCTCCTTATTTCTTCTTGTTCTTTTTTGCAATGGGTTTAGATTTTGCCAACCAAAGTGGGTTAGATCTTCAAAAGTGGGTGAAGGCAATGGTGAAAGAAGAGTGGATATGAGTATATGATAGTGTGTGAAGGTTTCTTGATTGATCGAGTGTGTGATGTTTTCATGATTGATTGAGTGTGCTATCACAGCATGTTCCCCATATCTTGAAATCCAAATGTTGATCGAGTGGGTTTATGGTGGAGTTACCCTGATCACAGTGTGTTATCACAATGTGTTGTCCCATATCTTGAAACCTGTATGTAGATCGAGTGCTTTTACAGTGATCATAATGTGTTATCCCATATCTTGAAACCCATGTGTTGATCAAGTGGTTCAACGGTGGAGTTACAGTGATCACAATGTGTTATCCCATGTGTTGGTCTAGTGGTTTTACAGTGGGTTTACGGTGGAGTTACAGTGATCATGGTGTGTTACTGTTATCCCATATCTTGAAACTCCATATGTTGAACGAGTGGGTTTACGGTGGAGTGACCACAATGTGTTATCCCATGTTCTGAAACCCGTATCTTGAATGATCCAGTGATCACAATGTGTTATCCCCACTTCACATATTCATCATGGCGTCACATTGAGAAAGGTTCGTGGGAGTAAGGAGAGAGCAGAGCGAGGAGAGGAGCGAGAGATTTGAAGTATACCCATAATGCCCTTAATTTTAATTATTTTGTCATAATTCTCATATTTATTATATTAACCATTGACTAAATATGATTTGTGATTTAGATTGGATCTCAGGGATCTCACGAAATATTGGGTTCTCCCTTGAATGACCCCTATATATATATATATCAGTTGCCAGCTATGTTGTACAGTTTGGAGTGTTGGGCAACACTGGAGCAGAAAACCATGAGAAGAAGTTGGAAGTTGCTAAAATGAAGATGTTCATGTGGACTTGTGGTCGAACCATGTTGGACAGGATACCAAACAAGGTCTTCTGGGTAGAGTTGGGAGTTGCACCTATCACGTAGAAATTGAGGAGAGAGGAGATTGTGAGGGTCTGGACAGGTTCTTAAGAGACAAATGTCAGCACCAGTGAGAAGAGTAGAAAGCATGACAGTCGAAGGGTTGAGGAGGAGGGCAAGGTCAAGGAGAATGTAAAATGAGCAGCTGAGGTTGGATATGGTGACCTTAGACATGGCCCAATGACATGACCTCTGATAAGAGTTCTTGGAGGGCAGGACTAGGATAGCAGACTATATGTAGGGGCATGTAGCTAAACTAGTTGGGAGGAGAGATTGGAAGGGTAGAAGGTGAGATGGAAGGGGGTTGGAGAGCCGATAAATAGGTTATCAGAGCTTTAACACAGGTAGAGGGATGTTAGTGTGTAACACTATTCCAATATGTTCCTACTTACTTGTTTAACCTTTTTTTACTGTTGATGGTTTACTAGTCTAGGTTCTTCTTTCCAAATTCTCTATTTTTTTTTTTACTTTTTGGTCCCAAGCTCCTCCTTACCTTTCAACTTCTAAATTATTTTTTGATGAACTTTTTGAAGCACTCGCTTTTTCACCATTTCACCAAAATCTTTTTACAAGCACTTTTTAGCAAGTTGGGGTCTTCACGGAAAACTAACTGCTATAGTCTTTCTGGTACATGACAGGTCTGCATACATCCACCAAGACCCTACTTCTGAGTGGGACATACTGGGTGGGTTTGGTTTGGTTTGTACTGGTTGTTAAAATGGACGAATTTGTTTAACTCTAGGAAGCAAAATCAAGACACTTGTAACAGAACATAAAGAGTAATAATACATAAGAAAATTGATGTATAAAATACATTCGAAGTATATTCAAAATCTTGGTGAAATTGATATGCTCCCCATCTTTTAAAAAACTTTATTAATTATTATATCTAGTCGTCAGACTCCCCTCCTTCTCAACAAATTGAAATTAGAGGACATGCAGGTGTTTATATCAATGAATATATTATGTTGACTCTGTCCTAAATATGTGAAATGGTGATGACACAAAATTCACAAGAAGACGGAATCCATTTTGGTATGCATAAGATTAACAAGCTTTGAAGCTGTTGCCAATACACAATGCCATCAACTAATTAAGCATTTAGAAAGGCTACACGACAAAAATGAAGGAAACAAGCATATAAAGATTAGAACATAACTACATCATGATCAAGCAGTCAAGCACACAATATATACACTTACAAGCGGAGCTGGCGACCTCCTGCAGATTTACTAGCCTCTGGATCTGTAAGTTCACAACACGAATAAGATGATAAGCATTCTTATTCTAGACAAGCCAATACAGAAAGAACATTGATAAATATCTGGTTGAATACATGGAGTTAAGAAAACTCACCTGTTTGAAGAGCGGTGTGCACAAACAATGGACCAAGGAAGCTTCCACCAATGCCAATAGCAATCACATTTGTCAATGCCTTCCCTGTGGCTCCAACCTAACAAGGATTATTTGTTACTCAATAGTACAGCATTACACAAGTAATAAATTGAACAATGATCAGCATTTAAGATGAATGATTACCCAGGAACCGTTGCGAACTTTATCCGAGAATTCTCGAATTTTGTCCAGAACTTGCCACACATCAGGTACCACATTCTTCCCATCACTGTTTATAACTGTATCTTTTGAAGCACGGAGAGCAACATGAAGCACAGACCTGTTCTCCGTGCTGTTTATCTGAAGTACAGACCAGAAAATGCAAAAGTTTACAATATGAGTTTACAGCTCTGTGATTTCATAAAGAGGCTAGCTTAAAGATGAACCCAAAACTAACTAAAGAAAAACTTGGCACCTTGTGCAAAATATTGAGACCTGATTCAACTATTATTTGAAATTCTTTTTTCAAAAGAAAAAGTAAGTTACTCCAAGTGAGTTACTATTGAATAAAATTTATAACTTCACTTACATGCTCCCCATTGAACATACTATTAATCTTTTCTTTGAGACATGCTGCCTGCATTAGGAAATAAGAAGATGGTCAGAAAATACTGTACTTTTTTGCTTTTTTGGTGGGCACATATCATAACTCAGTTTGTGCAATGATATCGATATTTTTATCATTTCAACCAAAGAGAGAGAAGACCAACCCACCTCAGCAAGTGTAAAGAGCTTAGACACCGTATCAACAGTGGTACGCTGTCTTGAGTAATCCAGGAATATTCCATCAAACTCACTGCATAAAACCCGAAGGCAAAGAAGCAGTCTTAGCTCAAACATAACACTACAAGAAAATACATCCTTCCACCTAGATAAAGAAAGCGAAAATACTCCTCCCACCAAAATTAGAAGAACGCTCACCTTTCATTTTGCTTCAAAATAGATGAAAACCCTTTAATTTAAGATAAAGGAATTAAAACCCTTCCATATAAGGCCCAATCTTTTTGTGCATCTCTAATAACAAACACATAATTGGTGGGGAAAAGAAAATTTTCAACTTATAAACCCTTATCTTAAGATAATAAAAAGTGAGTTTAAAAAAAACAAGTTCCCAAATTAGTTATAGACTCAAGTCTCCTTGGAGTTGGTTGTGGGTTCATGTCTCATGGGAGACGTGAGCGTTGGTTGCCTTGCCATTTAAAAAGAATAGTTATATAATCAAGCAGTTCCGAATTTAGAGTCCATGTCCCAAAACTTATAGATGCTAATGATACATATGCTTTTGAGTTATAGACTCCAGGGTATTCAGCAAACATTGTACATCAAATTTGAATTCTTTTCGAACTTTTTTTGGCAAACCCTACTCAAACTTTGGAATGGAGAGAGTATCATTTCTCTAAGTTCTGGTGGACTATTTAAAGACATTCAAAGAAAAGTTATCTACATCTCTATATGTGGCCTCTTGATATAAAGAACATTAATAATTAAGGAAAACCACATAGGCCTTATCTATATAGAAGGAGGTAGAGTTATTTAAAACTAAAGATGATGAAAGCCCTTCACAATATTTAGGAGAAACCATAAAAGGGAAGAGAAGGGAACAACAAAACTAAGAGAAATGAACTTTTGTTACTATAGTTCATAAGAGGCTGAAAGTCTCATACAGCATCATCGACTTGCATCGGTCAGTGTCAGTCATCAAATCACGCAAATGAGTCTTGTCAATTTCCGCAACATGAGCCTGCAAGTAACAACGGTTCATATCATCAAGTTACAACTAGACTTAGAGAATAGAGATACAGACCTGCAGTTATTCAAATAAAAAGCAGGAACCAAAATGATGGTCAGGTAAATAGGTAAATGGTAATCACCTTCAAATCCTTCCATGGTGCAGTGTCAGAGATTAGAGTAGCCATCTGCAACGATTTTCAAGCAAAATAAATAAATCAATACCACAAAGCAACCGAGACCAAGATTATCAAACCGATAAAATTAAAAATGTCCTGATTTATGAAAAACAAATACAAGAACGATTAGGATTAAGATTACGATTGCGAAACTGGTTTGATGTAAGCTTGGTTTCCATTTTATTTCTCGACGATCAAAGAACAGATTAGTAAACAAACCATGTAAAAATTTATCCAAGAACGAGAAAGGGCCTTTTTCTTTTTCTTTGATTAACTCGGAAACAATTGAAAAGAAAAGCCAGGGAAAGATCCAAGAACTGAAAATGAGTGAAAGAATTGCATTACCTGGAGATGATTGAAGAAGGGTTGCGAAGAACAATGGTGAAAAGGGGAAAATATGTTTGCAATCTGATGAGTTTGTGCAGAGAGTGTATCTAAGTACGATGAGAAATTAGAAACAGGTGGCGGTGGTAAGAATTGAAAGAATATGCCGTGGATCAGACCATTCTATTTCTATGGACGGCGTCAAAATAATACCACCACCATCCTTTAATCATCTTCTCTTTTCTTCCTCTGCTTTTTTTCATGGAAATTGTGTTTCGGTAAAAGTTATAAAAAAATAGTTTATCAGTGTCATACTGAAATAAGTAAAAAAACAGTTTTTATAAACAATCTCAAACACCCTTTTAATCATGTAAATTCATTTTTACATACATCATTTATATTAAATATGGATAAAATAATTGAAATATTATTTTTTCATTTAAGATGTAAAATTACAAACTAATAACAGATTAACAGTCGAAGTATAAAATCTAAAACTTCTGTAAAAAATGAAGTTGAAAAACAGTTTAGGATGGTTTGGTTCGGTTATCGTTGTTGGGGAGGTGGTTGTTGATAGACAACCACAAAATAGATAGAAGATAGTGATGGTGGGTTGACGAGAAGGGAGACGACTGGAAAAGGGGCGGGACGGGGCGACGGTGGGGCTTTATTGGAATCAAATGAATCAAGGCGAAACGATATGAACCATTGCGTTGGTCCTTGAGCTATCAATGTTAGTCATCAGACAAAAGAAGATTTCTTAGACTACAATGGTGATTATGAACTCTAGTGATTATTAACCTAGCACTTGTTAAGCAAACCTCAAACTCGTTAGTCTTTATGGTGCGTCGTAACCATGATGAGATCAAAGGAGAAGATGAATGAAGGCTGAAACAACAGATGATTATGAACTCCAGTGAATATTCTTGTACCTGTGTTCTTTTTGTGTTTGTCGATGTCTGAAATGGTCGAGAGTTTGATATATAGAGAGTTCAAGTTAGAGAGTATAAAGATAAAGAGGTTGTTGGAGTTTGTGAGAAAAAGAGGACTCCCTCTCTCACATACAACATTTATAGTTTGTTTAAAGAGTCCGCGTCAGAGCACTTTTTGGCCCTTCCGCCCTGGGCATTAGAAACCTCAGGATCGCCCTTGGATCTGTGGTGACCATTTGGTCACAGGTTCAATCATCACTCTGATATGGACCCACTAAAATAAATATTAGCAGAAATATTGTAGGACTTACAAGTTGAAGAATTAACTCTACCAGTAATCTTACAGAGCCGATTTCTAATCTCAAATCTTGACCATCTTCAGTCCATTGTTAAGTATTCTTAAAGAAATAAATAAACAAACCTAATTTAGACAATACACAAATAAACCTAATCTAATTTGGAAACATCCTTAATCTACAAAAACATAACCATTATTGATTTACAATTTAAAAATTTACCAATCGAGATAGCAGTGTAGCATACAAGACTTTGAGAATGGGACTTGAGAGAGCAGCGACTGAGCGTGAAATAAGGTGGAACCACCACTCCACCAGAGACGAAGAGAGGTAGTAAGCCATTGAGAGAGTTCGCACTTTGTAGCGTGAAATGAGGCTGAGAGAGAGATGAGTTGGTCTAGGGCAGTAATTGAAAACAATAACTTGACCCAAAACTAAGCCTACCCATGTACATAAGGGCTTGAGTACATTATGCCTTTGTAATTTCAGTTGCCTTGGGTTGTCGCCCCCATGGCCTATATTCAGGGTCAGGGTTGTGCATGACACCAACATTGTCGCTCGGGAGCTAAAAATGGTATTAGACAACAATTATACAAATATAATTAAAGTTAGGTAATTCGAATTTTGTGATTGTTAGTCCTCTAAAAAACATCAGATACGACCCCATTATCTCCATTTTGTGTTGCCGCTAATTCTATGCCGACACATATCATGAATGTCAATATATGATGAATCATGAACATGAAACCAAATATACAAGGACATAGTAAAGTGTACTGAATGATCAAATTACACCAAAGATGTATCAAATACCAACAAAGTGATTTTTTATGCTCTGATAAATAAAATCTTCATTCAAAGTCAATATTGGTTGGTATTTCAATAAAGTAAATGTAAAAGTGCTCGACGCATCATTAAGATATTTCACATGTAATTTCTTAAAGTGTGAAGAAGAATATATGGTCACACTTTCAGATTTGTTAGTCGCTCATACAAATACAGATGCATATATACATAGAACAATCAATATAAACATAATGTGTACGAAGGAAAGAATTAAAGAAAAATAGACAAGCTAATGAACGAATCTTAAAATGACGCAAGGTTCCCAAGAGTAGGCCTTTAATGGAGCTTAAAACGGGTGAATCAAAATCAATGTAAAACACTGTATATGGAGTACAAGTCTCTATTGCATGATAACTGTTTTGGATTTAACGACATTAAGGATGATTACTGATTCAATTTATCAAGACAAATTTGTAGTCATAGTATAACATCCCAAAATAAGAACATATGGGTTTAGAACGTAAACAATCATTACAGATAAACACTTTTGCAATGATCGTTACAACACGTATCAATTAGATTTTTAAATTTGAGATTGTGTCATGGGAAGGGTGATTGATTAAGTGGGTGTTTAAGATTACTTATTTAAAACAATTTATGTTTTTTTTTGTAAAAGTGTTTATTAACTTATGTGGTATCAAACGAAGTTGTTGTAAAAACTGTTTGGATTAGCTTATGGCGGTATCAAAACGCAATAAGTTGATAAGTGTTTTTAGTGTTTGACAAATTTTGCTTATACATGTAAAATGACCAAGGGTATTCTTCCATATTATTGACTTATAGGGAGTGTTTGAGATTGCTTATTAACTTATTTGATTTTTTAACATGTAAAAATTTATTTTTTATCATTTATAATAATATCTTTGACAAAAATTTATATCAATAACATAAATAGTTTACAACAAAAAAACTAACTTGAATAACATAAATTTATACCAATACCGTTAATAATTTATAACAAAAATATTAGATCTATGCAACAAAAAAATATTAGATCATCATTTATAATGTAATATTTTTATAACCAAAATATCAATAACAAAAATAGATCGTCATTTATGATAAATTTTCATCTGGATCAACCTATTAGATATCCTGCAATCATATCTTTTACTGCACTCATATATAGATCGTCGCTCCTACGACGTGAACTTGTGTTTTCATGTGCTTCATTATTGCTACCACATCCTTCAACATCAACATCAACATCAATATGAGGGTTGTATGATTCTTGCGCCATGTCAAATGTTTCGTCAAAACTACTATTCATTCTAATATAATTGTGAATTGCCATCAACGCTAGCATAATATTTACTTGTGTCTCGTAAGCATAATTGACATGCATATCTTTTAGTATGTGTCATCTAGTGTTGGTCCCAAAGGGTCTACAAGAATACTAAACAGTTTGTA